AAGTGGGGAAGTGAATGTCTATATTTTTAGATTACTGTGAGGATTAAGTGAGATAATATATGTAAAGTGCCTTGACTTGTGCCTGAAATAAAGTTAGTGCCAAATAAATGGTAACTAGTGTTTCTATTATTATCACCATGATTATCTCTTCCCTCTGAACCCAGCAGAGGATATTGTTCTCCTGTTTCCTTGTGCCTGAAATGAGTGGATAAAACCTGTGCCCACAGGGATAGGTTTCTGACCTATGCAAGATGACCCACCCATTGCCGCTTCCACAGCCACCATCTCTAAAGAATGAGATCCCCACGTTTCTGAGCACGCATGCTGCACCACAGAGACTCCCAGAAACCCGTGGCTCTTGGTCCTGCTTCAGCTGCACAAATGAGACCTGGAGAGGGCAGTTCCCAGCTTTCCTGGAAGGCACATCTTAGTAAAAATTTCCTCCCCAGCAAGCAAAGCAGTAGGTCAATAACCTTCCATGCCAAAAATTAAAAAATAAAATAAAACGTAAAACTAAAAAATAAACAAAGACAGCTGGCTTGATTCCAAAGCCCCCAAGAGTTGCCAGAACACACTTTTGCCACACAGTTGCCTGAACCTGGTGGTCAGGAGGAGCGCCTCGGTGATAAGGCTTGGGAAGCCCAGGTGAGGACCCAGCAGAGCAATGAAGCCTTGGAATCAGATGTCCTGTCTTCTTTATCAGGCGCCAGCTGAGTGACTTTGAACAAATTATACTTAACCTCAGTTTCTCTTGTAAAAAGGGTATAACAGCACTCTCCTACACGAGTCATTATGAGAATCAGATTGTGCCACATAAAGTCCTGAGAATACTCAAGAGCTTTGTCACGTTAAGTCATTAAAATCCTCGAAACAGTCGATATCTGATCGCTGCTATCATAATTAACAATCAGAAAGTCATCTTTTTGTTCAGGCATGAATTATACTATTCTGCCTTTCACAAACATTTCAAGTCTTTCTACCTGGGCGGAGAAACGAATGAAGAACAAACAAGAAAAGGTGTTCTCAGGAGGTAGAAGCTTTATTATGACATCTTCAAAAGACAATCAAATCAGTAGGCATTTACTGAGCACCTGCTGTGTGCAAACCCGTGCAGACAGTAGGGTCCAGTGTTCCACGCATGGCTCTTGAATCCCTGGGGAGAAAAATCACATCGGGGTCAGGGAGTTTTGCGTGGCTGAGAACAAAGTGGGTTTCTGAACATCAAAGTGCAATTCGCTTTACGGGGCAAACTGCGAGGCTCAGCCCCGCGTGGGAGCCGCAGCCGGGCGGGACCGCTCTGGGTTGGGCGGGTTTCTCTAGCGCAGTGCTGGGGGCTGCGGGCCTCTCAGCAGCCAGAGCAGCAGCCTGAGCTCTGGTTGTTGGAGCGCTGGGACCTCTGGCTGCCGCCCCCGCAGCAGCAGCAGCCACTACTCCGCTGCCGGCGGCGTCTCCTTGGGAAGCAGCAGCAACTGGTGGAGCTGGAGCCGCAGCAGCCCGAGTCGCCGCAGCAGCCACCGCCGGAGCCACAGCAGCCGCCGCCGCAGCAGGAGGAGGAAGAGGCGGGCGCCGGGGTGGGCGCAGGGGCGGGACACGGAGCGGGGCCCTGGGATGACCCCTTGGAAAAGCCTTTGGCGGAAGCGGCGCTCTGTTGAGAGGACATCGCGGAGCTCCTCACGACGAACCTGGAAGAAAGGCAGCCTTTCAAAGGCGAGCCGGCTTTTTCTTTCCACCGGTGGAACTCTGTCTGGGCTTTTGAGATTCGGTTTAGTGTACAAGTCAGCCTGGCCTGGGACAAGGGGGGAAAAGTACCCAGAAAGAGCGGGACACAGAAAAGCAAATCCAAGCAGGGGCTTCCAGTGAGTTAAACATGCTCAGAGCAGGACACAATCTATGCAATGAATCAGTGCATTTCCATTTTCTCTGACTAGAAGAAGACTGCTCAAGTTCTCCACAGTGGAAAATAAACAGCACACTGCGGCAGCTTATCTGTATGATCCAGTCCAAAATCTCCACTTGGCTTTTTTCCTCTTCCTCATTTTACTTTCCTACCGACCTTCGATTTGTATCTTCCTAGTTACTACACCCCATCATTTAGAAAACACCCAAGTCCAACACGTGGTCCCACCTGCTGGATCTAAATAATCCACATGCCAGAAGCAGGTCCTGATCATTCTTTCTTGCCTATGCCTCTCATGCCCCACAACCACGTGGGAAAGGAGAGTTGTGACAATATAAATAACCCCATCCAGGGAGCTGAAAGATCTGGGTTCTAGTCACAGCTCTTCTGTGGACTTACTGTGTACCCTTGCAAAAGCCACCTCCTGTGTTGCCTTTATGTCCTCATTAGTACCTTAAGAGGTTGGCTCACTGGAAGCTTAGGTGCCTTGTAGGACACCCCTTCCGCATCTATCTGCTGCCTGTGTTCTGTTTTCTCCTCTCCTGTGCCCTCAACTCATCCCACCCTCTCCCCGAGACCCTGCGAGGAGACTTACCGGACCCTGGCTCCACTGAAAGACTCACTACGTTCTCAGGCTGGAATGGGCCAACTGCTAGGCAGTGGATTGAGCAGTGTCCAGCCAGAGAACCTTTTTATAACAAGTATTCAGGTTCGGGCTCTTGGGAGGGGCCCATTTCCCAACAGACGTGCTCAGCTGACACTCACATCCCAGAGACATTCATCACTCAGGTAGCGCTGTAGGTGGTGCACGTGAGCATCTAAGTCACTTCACAGAGGTGCCAGGATTGCTATGGCATGTTTACTTTCCAAACAGAGCACTGTTGGTACCTGGGAGGCTGTGTGTATGCTAAGAGAAGGCATGGGGCTCAAATGCAGGGAGGTCTGGAACCCCTTGTGCCCTTGTCTTCAATGTACACAGACACGCACGCGCACACACACACACACACACATACACACACACACACGGCTCAACTTGCCCACACATCAATTCCTGTGTAGTCATCTACTTGGTAGGTGGTAGTTCACCTATTTTTATCTTGATTCTCATCTCTCTGGCTTTTGGTCCTTGGCTCCCCAGGGCAGACCACAAGCTATGCGATAAGCCTGCTGGGTTTCATCCATATGCTTCAAGATGCAGTGAGTGAAGACGATGACAGGAATGCACCTGTGGGAATCCCAGGGGCGATTTCTCTCTGTCACTGGAGACAGGAAGAAAAACCAAGCAAAGTTAAGGAACCATAAGACCAGAAAAGTTGTGAATGTAGTCAGGTTACCATATCCCCATAATACAGCATGGTATGACTGAGAGAAACGTGTGTGCAGGACAGTGGCCCAATTGCAAAAAGGCAAGTCAGCCTGTGGGACTCCTGCTTCTTATCCTACCCCCAACCACCAATCTCCCTTTGAAGATAGGTCCTCCCTAGAGCCATTGCCCAATGCAAAAGAAAATGGGAAAGGAAGAAGGGAGGAGGGAAAGATGAAAAAGAGAGAGAGAGAGAGAAAGAAAGAGAGAGAGAGAAAGAGAGAAAGAAAAGAAAGAGAAAGAAGAAGGAAGGAAGGAAAGAAGGAAAGAAAAAGAAAGAGAAAGGAAGGAAGGAAGGAAGGAAGGAAGGAAGGAAGGAAGGAAGGAAGGAAGGAAGGAAGGAAGGAAGGAAAAAGGAAAGGAAAGGAAGGTTCTTTCCAAAAGTCGAAAGTGTGCATGATAAATAGTGTTTTTAGAATAACTAATTTTTAAGAATTGGAGGATACTTTGGCAATCAACTTCGGAACTGCTTCTTAATCAATGCAATTGCCCACAACTATGAATGTGAACTGTAACAGAAGTCCAAGACTAAGAATTCAAGAATTAAGGATGAGAGACAGGTTTGGGGGTGAGTGAGCTGGGAGTGGCATGAGGGAATACGCACAAAAGATACCAGTTTCATTTAACGTGGATTTAGAGCCTGATTAACAGGTTGCCAGTTCCTAGAGCACTTGTTGGTGAGTATAGGTGAGACATTCCAAAAAGTAAAGTCAATATTAGAACAGAGAAGGAAGTAATGAAATAACAAGACAGAGGCAGGATCTCCCCTGGGAAAATGGGCAAAATTCTTTTTTTTAAAAAAAGAAGTGAAGAAGGATGTGTTTGGTAGGAATCTATGTAAGGAGATCATCTGGGCAAGTGCCTACTCATTCTGTGGGCATGTTATGATCTCATAAACCAAGTTACTTTATTTATCACTCTTAACTCTTATCAAAGAAGGCATCAATTGTTTATCTTTAAAGGCTGATTTGGAATTAAATTTTCTAGTTATCTTTTCTAGGTATTTTATGAGTATCTCGTGAAGGAACCAGCCCATTCCTAAAGAAATGTTACTTGGAAAACCCAACACAAGGACCAAAACCCCTGTACTCTTATACTTCTCACTACAAACACACACACACACGTCCCAACCACATAGAGACAGTCGTTGCAGAGAAGTGTGTCTTTCTCAGTTCTTTACCCAGATTCAAATCCAGAATTTCAGCATGCAGGGAAAATGTGCTCAGACATTTCATACCTGCCTCTAAAACTCACTCACTGCCCACCCAGCTCTCCCTCTAGCCAACTGATGGAAACACCTGGACTTATAATCATCAGAAAAGAGTGTCCATTTATTAGAGCCCAGGATGAGCACTTCAGACAATCTTATTCCCCATGAATAGAGGACAAGCAGTTTTTCAAACTGTGACCCGTGCTTGAAGGAAACCCTCTCAGAACCTGACCCTTCTGAGTACAGCCATCCTCTTCTCTTCAAACCCATTCCTGGCTATCCTCATACAATCTTGTGTCTGGTGTAATGGTCTCAGACATGATTCTTTCCTTCAAGCTTAAAGTTCCAGAATCCAGTGCATAGAAGGGAATATTGTTTTCCAGAGTCTTGAGTAGCTTCGCTGCCAAAATGTGCTCCCCAAACAAGTTTGTAAAGTGTTCGCTTGCATTTAAGAGAAGGGAAGGGAAGATGGCTTGATGCAGTAGGTAGGGAGTGGGAGAGGCAAACAATGAAATCAGGAGGCAGTGATATCAGGAATAAAAAGCTTTATTGTTACAGAAAAAATAGCTTCATAACTGAATTACAACACCTAGTTTTCAAAGAACCATGTCTGAGAGGGAAAGTCAGGCCAGAAAATATCACAGGCTAGACCTCAACCTCACAATGGAGTGAACACAGGCAGGATAAAGAGGAGAACTTAAGGCATTTCTGAAGTCCTTCCATGGGAAACGAGAGAAAAGAAGCCTCAGATTGATACAGATCTTCTGCACCTGGGCTCTGCCAGTGCTGCTCCTTCACGCTCCTCATGGCCCAGGTCAGCAGCAGCCCCCAGAACTGTGGCAGCAGCCAGAGCCCCCAGACTGCTGGCCACTGCCACTGCCACAGCAGCTGGAGCTCTGAGGTCGGCGTCGGAGGGACCGGCGGGGCCTGTGGTGGCTCAGGCAGCAGCCACCACCCTCAGAGCTGCAGCAGCCCCCAGAGCTGGAACCACAGCAGGAAGAGACTGGAGGTGGGCATGGGGCTGAACACTGGGGAGGGCATTTGGGGGGACACTTGGGAGGACACTTAGGAGTACACTTAGGAGGGCATTTAGGGGTACATTTGGGAGGAGGCTGGCACTGCTGCTGGCTCTGCTGGCAGGACATCTCTGTAGGAGCTGAATAAAGCTGAAAGACAATACAAGCCCAAGGTCACTTCCTTGCCCTTAAAATTGAACTATAATTTCACAAGATTTTATCTCTAAGATGACCAGAATTTATTTATTTATTTATTTATTTATTTATTTATTTATTTATTGAGATGGAGTCTTGCTCTGTCACTCAGGCTAGAGTGCAGTGGTGCTATCTCGGCTCACTGCAACCTCCACCTCCCAGATTCAAGTGATTCTCCTGCCTCAGACTCCCAATTAGCTGGTATTACAGGTGTGCACCACCACACCCAGCTAATTTTTGTATTTTTAGTAGAGACGGGGTTTCACCATGTTGGTCAGTCTCGAACTCCTGACCTCTCAACCTGCCCACCTCGGCCTCCCAAAGTGCTGGGATTACAGGCATGAGCCACTACACCTGGCCTAAGATGACCAGATTTTAAAAACCCAGTCTCCCAAGACCAGTAACAAGAATGATACAAATGATTTCCACTTTGTAACTCCATATTTTCAAATGAATTCCTTGGAACTTCAGAAAGACATCAGTCCTTCATTCCCTTCACCTACCTTCCATCTTCCCCTTCCAGAAGAACCCTCCCCTCCAAAATTCTCTTTTATTCTTGTCTTTCTTCAAGAATGGCCTCAACCTCCACCCAGGGGCTCTTTCTGCCCAAAACACTGGTACCAAGAGTTCATCCTGGTCCTGAGAAGCACTCTACCTGGTTCAGGCACTGCAGCAGATCACTCAGGAGACAGGTAGACTGAGTTGCTGTGAGAAGCTTTGCCTTTTATACGATTCAGTCCTGACCTAGCATCAGGAGGTGCAGACCATGTGCGGGCTGCTGGAAGCATATTTCATAAAGGCATGGGTGACTCCCTCCCCTCGCATCCCACGGACCCAGTTCCTCCCTCCATAAGCATCTCAAGTATTAATCCACAGGAAGATCCCATGAGAACTGCAGGCGTCTAGGATGGTGAGGAAGCTCTGTGAATTGCACATGGCACCTATCTATCTCACAGGCAGCTCTGCTATGCTTTCTATTTTCTGAGCTGGGCCAGTATGGCTCTACGCCTCTGGGATGAACAGAAGTTCTGTTTTCTCTTTGGTATAGGAACTGAAGGAGAAAATTCCCAAGATGGAAATTAAATGGCCCTTTTTAGAATAATAATAGGGATCCAAAATAAAATTGTAGGCCCAAGGAAATAAACTAACGTGATTTTTTTCATTCCTAGATGATGCCATAACCAGAACTAAGAATGTCTGATATCTCAATGATGTTATTTTAGGCAGATCTAATGCGGACAGTGTGGGTGGTTGGGCTTCTCTCCTTGCCTGAATTTGATGCTCCAAAAGAGCTCACAAACAGTACTGATTCAGCACTAACAAATGCCTTTAAAATGGTTTATTTACTCGTGTTAAAGAAGGGGCCTTTGGCCAGCTCCAGGTGAGGTGGCAAAGACCAGGTGTATACTGAGGGTGGAGCAAAAGCTCTCGACTCATCTGGAGGTTTCCAGAAGTGAGGCACCAGTTCCAGTCATTCATAAGAGAAGAGCATCCAACCTGGGAAGGACCTCAGGAGAAGATTCATCTTTGGATGGGAGAGGTGAAGAGGAGGAGTATATAGGTTTTAAAAGCCCATGGTGGGAGCCAAAGCTTATTTTCTCAGCAGATAGTATTCTGAGGGAAAGCTGGGTCCCCAGGATAGTTACCAAAATTGACTTAGCTGGAAAGGGTGGCCAAAATATGGCATATTCACAATGAAAGCTGCAGTGGGAGAAAATAAGACTGGGAGAAAAAGACAGTACCTTAGCTTCATGCTCGTTGAAATGGGCTGCGGTGAGAAGCATCAGCCCAGGTATAACACAGACCCTGGAGAGGGATGTCCAGCAACAGTTCCCACCCTTGCTCTCTCTACCTGTGCAACCTCTGGCAAGTTACTTAACCATCACTGGAAAAGGGAGCTGAAAATATTCCTAATCCACTGAATAAAGAAATACAGATGAAGTTCTTAGCACAGTTCTTAGAACTGCAAGTTTAAAAAAGAAAAAACTAATCCCTATGGCTATCCTTATTTCCATGAGAAAATATATTCTAAATTTCAAATTACTGAACTGCCAATTTTGAAACCAAAACTAATTTTTATGATATCAGAGCTTAGACTTAATGTTTTCTTATAGCAAAATATTAAGAGTATTTGCTTGCCACTAGGGAATGAGATTATAAAGAAAGCATACTCATTATTTAAAAACACCAAAAAATAGGAAAAGTTTTAAAATCACCCATAATCCCATCCCTAAAATACTGTTACTATTTTACTTTTCCTTTCAGTCATTTTTTTTTCTATATATAGTGTTTGTTTTGTTGTTGTTATTTGAGTTTTGTTTGTATTTTACATAGTCTTTCTCATAGTACTTACATGAGTTTATTTTATTAACTTTACACTTAACATTTTAACATCAACATTTCCCATGTTATTCATTGTTTGGAAGGATTATTTTTGGTAGCCATAAGAACACTGCATGAAGGGCACAGAATCTATTTATAAGTGGTTAGGAGCATGAATTCTAGAACCAGTCTCTGGGTTTGAATCCCAGCTCCCCACTTACCAGTGGTGTGACCTTGAACAAGTGACATGAGCTTTCCACCTCACTGTCCTCACCTGTGAAATGGTGAAAAAAGTAGTGTTTATTTCATGGGGTCATGTGCAGATTAAATGAGTTAATATATGTAAAACTCTTGTAATAATGCCTGGCATATAGTAAGCATTCAATAAATGTTTAAAATGAAACCTGATGCTGTGTCACTTCTAAATTCCAGCACTCAGAGTAGGCCTAGATAAAGACCACGGGGTTGGGAGGCAGGTAGGCTCCTGTGGCCACTGAATCTCTATGCATCAGATCTGTCTCTGCCCTCCTTGTGGAGAAGTATAAGCAAGAAAGTAGAACACAGGTTCTGAATTTCTGGAAAAGGAATCCCAGTAGAAGTTAAAGGAATTACCCATTTAACACATGGGTTTGGTGAATTCTAAAAGGAACAATGTCCATCCTCTTTTACTTATAATTGTTTGGGCACATGACCACCTATCTGACCACACGGTAAGGTCTTTAGTGCAGGAATCCCTAAGGGGTCTAATTGAATGCATTGTAGGCAGCAGGTGTTCAGTTTTCATTTCCTTGTTCAGTTGAATTTACTATTCAGCAAGCAAGATGGACGCCTCAAACAAATCCAAACCCAGATTTTCATTGACAAATTCTAGACATTTCACGGGATGATAGAATAGATGTGGAAAGGACCTTGGCCATCATTCAGAGCCAGTGTTTCTCAACCCCAGTGAGATCTAGGCTTTGACATTCTCCAGACCTCCATCAAGTGGCTCTGCTGCACCACTGGGATTGATAATTGCTGATTTAGATCATGCCCCTTGTTTGACAGAAAAGGAACCTGAGACTCAGAGATGGAAAGAGGCTTTCCCTGGATCACATGGAGAGCTGGGAGCAGAGATGGAATTCAAACCCTGCTATCTGCCCTCTCTCCCTCATAACAGTCTGCCTCTTGAATAGTATTTTATTTCTTATTGTGATTTTTTCTAGCAAGATTTATTTTATAAAATTTGCTTGTTAAACATGGCTATTGAAGTTGGAGTGAAAATAGTAATAAATATGCTGAATCACAGCCTGAATTGCACATCTGAAAAAACTGGAAGTGATCATTACCTCTACTAAATAACCAGGGATTGAGTACCTGTGTTGAAAAGGCAGTGTCTGGCATCTCCAGCGATAGGCCAGCTGGCAGACCCCCAAGAACCCTCCCCAGCATAGCACTATCTGGATGACTGTTCCTTAGCCCAGAAGTCCAACTCTTAGCCTTAGCATGGCTAAGTTCCTTAGCCCATGCCCCTGAGCTGATTAATCCTGTGGACACTGATTCACTGCACCTAACTCACAAGAGACTGTGATGACATCGACTTACAAAGAGAAACCTGAGTGTCAATGTTGGCAGGTACATTGTCTTCCTGTAGGAAAACTCCTGGAAGAAGTCGTCATAACCTGCCAGCACTCTATGAGCATGAGGTTGCACAACAACCTCAGGTTTTGATGGTCAGCAACACTAGACATGTCCATCAGGTCATCTGAACACCTCCAGCCCTGGACAGATTTGGAAGCCCTGAAAACATTTGTCCCTGACAGCCCTTTGCTTCTCTGTGCTGGACTGTGGCCTGGGAACTGCCTTCGTGAGGGGCTTTGCACAGTGCTGCTCTCACCCACTACAGGCTGAATCTGGAGTCTGACACTGGAAAGGGATTTTTTCTATTTGTCTTATTTCCACTGGTCACTGTTGCCCTGATGTAAAGTCTGAATAGTGTACAGAATAATTCCCACCCATCCTGTGCGTAGATGTCCACATTCCAATCCCCAGAACCTGTGAATATATCACCGTACACAGCAAAAGGAACTTTGAAGATGTGATTAAGTCAAGGATCTTGAAATAGGGAGATTTTCCTGGATTATGCAGGTGGGCTCGCTGTAACCACAAAGGTCCTTATAAGAGAGAGGCAAAAGGGTCAACGTCGGAGAGGGGAGATTTATCAGCAGAAGCAGAGGTTGGAGTGAGGCATTTTGAAAATGTAGGAAGGGGAGAGAAGCCAATGAATATAAGCAGCTTCTAGCAGCTGGGAAAGGCAAGGAAATAACTTTTCCCTAGAGCCTCCAGAAGGAATACAGCCCTGTCAACAGTCTGATATTAGCCTAGTGAGACCTATGCCAGTCTGACCTACAAAACTATAAGGTAATACCTGTGTGTTGTTGTAAGCAACTAAATTTGCAGTAATTTGTTACAGCAGCAATAGAAACCAACCAAGAGGATCCTCAATGCCTCTGAGGCTGACATCAGGCCAAGGGAAGCTCAGTGAAGAGGTGACAGAGAAAATTCTTACAGATAAAGTGCTGTCTGGATTGTCCCAGCTTTACCCCTTGCTAGCTATGTGACCCCTTGGAGCTGTTTTCTCAGCCATAAAATGAGGATAATAACAGTGCTCATGGCCATGCCAGTTGTATGAGGACTCCATGAGATAATGCCTGCAAAGCCCTTCGTCCTAGACTTGGCACATAAAAAGCGCTCAGTAATTTTTAGCCCTTCTTATTCTGGTCATTATTAGTCTTGTCCTCACCATCATCAGTGAAAACAGAGATGTCATGATGGTTGCCAGTGCATTCCTGGGGCCCTCCACTGGGCTTAAAGCTCCCAGCTACTTATTTCCTGGACTGGAGCTTGAAAAATTCCATAGAGTAGGATGGACAACCTGCTATCACTTTGGGCTTATTTGAATTTTCAAGATACTACTTGCACCTCTTCTCAGGAAGATGAGGGTTTCTTCTTCTTTAACTTCTGGAGAGCATTTTACCATTTATGAGGTGTTTGTGCATTCTTTCCTTTACTGGAATCTTTACAACAGCCCAATTTTGTAGAAGAGAGGGTTACTACCCCTATTATTCAAAGATAGAATCAATGCACAAAGAGGCCAAGAAATTTGTCTAAGGTCACACAGATGTTAAGAGAAGTTACCAGGGTTCAAATCCAGCTCTTTGGACTCTATACCTCATGCTTGCTTCTCGAATCACAGCGACCTCTAGCCCAGGGTCTGTGCATCCTGTCATAGAAGGGGTGCACAGACTAAAATCCTAGGGGGCTAGAATATAATGCACAAAAGCAGTCCGTAGATGCTCCTCTTCTGAGAAGATACTGCAATATGGCCTTAAAATGGAGCTTTCTTCCTGTCCTAAGTGAACAAAGTGCTGAGTGGAAGGGCCTCTAGCAGTCTGGTTTCAAGCTGCAGACCTTTCTTCTTGCCTTCCTGGGCACCACCACCTGCAAGTAATGAGTGCCAGAGACATGGGTGCAAGCAAGGACATCAGAGACTGACTGACTCATGAGCTGCCTGGGGC